TTTTGTGGCCATAAGCATCATCAAGACAAATTATTTGTGGAATCCTATTTAATTATTTGTGGAATCCTATTTTTAGTGCATGCTTATAAAAGCAGGTCATCAGTGCAAAGAAGATGCTGACCTTGCTAATCTTCATAACAGGTGAGCACGTACGTATTGAATCATTAAAGTTAATAAGTGTTGAGGAGGGATTGAGGGATGAAAAGAGAGGTACAGAAATTTTAAACAATAAATAAATAAAAATAATACCTGAAGAGATGTTCTAAAATATAAGAAGACTGCTGCTATGGACCTCGACATTAAAGTGTGTCATTAAAATGCTTCAACCAGCAAAAAGGGATCTGTAATGAGTTTATATTGGCCATTGAATAACCAATTCCTGACCACAGGGTCAAAAGCAAGGGATAAAAAACTTCAATAAAATCTTATGTCTTAAGTTCTTCATTTCACATTTTCTAGAATAAGCTAGAAATGATATTGATGACCACTTCGCAATAATTGTGTTTGAAACTCACCTGCTCTTCTTAGAGAACATGATCATGAAAAACTCATATTATTTGTGAGGACTAACTATTTTCCTTCAATGAAATTTTAAAAATTTACAGCAGGTGATACAGTGTGAAATCATTCCTGGGAAGTTAATGAGAGTTCACAAATTGAAAAGCTTCCCGAGCCCATCAGTTGTAGCATATTAAGCAATTTTGTGTGCAAAACAACTTTATTAATTTGTTTAAAGTTTTAGTATCTAAACAGTTAATGAGTTTAAGAGTCAATGTACTTATTCCATGATTGGAAAGTAAACTTTAATTTCTACTTAGCAAGGCAGCAAGGTAAAGTGATTTAGGCTAATTTATTGACATGTACAAAACTACAAGGACTTCAAAGAGCAGGTGTACTTAGAGAATTACAAGTAGTTCAAATCCTTGATTCTAGTGTGTAAGGTGGTGTGTGAGGGATTAGATGGGTTGATCCAGTTAGAGCCTTGTTTACCATGCTAGAGAGTTTGGCATTGATTTAAAATACTTTAAATATTTAAGAAGAAAAATATTTTATTGTATTTTTGAAAGTGGATCCAGGGAGTAGTATCGAGAATGCAAAGAAAAGAGGAAATTCAGAGATTATGCTATTAGTACTAGGAGAATTCTGGAGAACAACTTTTGGGTGACATATGAGACAGTTACAGTTGGGCTGAAGAAAAGAGAAAAAACATCAGAATAGGCTGTCTAATGATTAATTTGATATTCAAGATGAGGCACCAATTATAATTCTTAGGTTTCTGGCTTGGGAAAGTTGGGGAATGAAGGTTCTAGATAAGGCAAATAGGAGAAGGCCTATATTTGGGATTTGGAGAAAGGGCAGAAATGATGAGCTCAGGGTATGAGCTCTGGGTCTTGGGTTCCGATCGTTCTTGGGTTCCGGTCCTGAATTGTCACTTCATAGCCATGTGACATAGGAAATTACTTAATCTGTTTCTCAGTTTCCTCATAGGTAAAATAGAGATAGTTACAACATTTACCTTATGGTGCCGCTGTGATGATTAAATTATTTCATACAAATCATTATCAATAACTGCAAACCCTTCATAATCTCAACTGTTTGTTACCTCACTCATTCTTGTAACTTGACACCAAAAACCTTGATTCCAACATTTTTTTTTTTTTGCGGTATGCGGGCCTCTCACTGTTGTGGCTTCTCCCATTGCGGAGCACAGGCTCCGGACGCGCAGGCTCAGTGGCCATGGCTCACAGGCCCAGCCGCTCTGCGGCATGTGGGATCTTCCCGGACCGGGGCACGAACCCATGTCCCCTGCATCGGCAGGCAGACTCTCAACCACTGCGCCACCAGGGAAGCCCCCCAACAATCTCTGATTCCATTGTAATCCACAATGTATTTTCCTAACACCCTTACTGTACTTCACTCTTCATGTCCTTACTTCCTAGTTTCCCAGCTTAATCTCCATGGCCAATCCCTATAATTACTCCCTTGCTCATACTCTCAACTCCTTTGCTTCTCTCTCATTTCATCATATTGGGCAAAACACAGTCTCATTAAGGCTGCCCCATGCCTATTCTACTCCTGGGCCTAGAACGTAACTGGAGAAATATGACTGAATATGACCAGAGAAATATACCCATCCAAGCTGACTGATCTTGTTCTAAATCCACAGTTATTAAAAGGAAGAGACTTTTCATTATTCCCTGGCAATCATATGGTATTTCTTGATCCACGTAGCTCCCACTCTCCCAGGTGACTCGTGTGTAACTCATTCCTGATCCTCAAAACTCTCATACCGTCTTTGCTCCTAGCAATGACCCACCTTCCTACTTTTCTAAGAAAATCTAAGTGTCATATCTTTATTCCATTGTTACCCCCTGAACACACCAGTTAGATTGATTGTTCTTTTAAACATGTAAGTCAGATCACTCTCTCTTTTGGTCAAAAGCCTCTAATGGCTTCCAACTTCTTTCACAAGAAAAGCTAAAGACCTTAGAATAGCCTAAATTGTCCTACACATATGAACATCTTAAGACATATTTCACCTTCTCTACTAGTATTCCCCCTGCAGAAGGAGACCCAGTCACTAATTTCTTTGATGCACTTCAGCTATGTCAGGCTTCTCCTGCCTCTGAGTCTTTGCTTGTCCTTCTTTGGTGACGACTCTGTCTACAAAGTGCTGGCCCCAGAGAGCCACATCGATGACTCCCTCACATTCCTCAACTCTTTACTCAATTATTTCCTTGGTGAACTCTTAACTACTTCTTTTATAATTGTAGTTCCAGCATTTCTTCTCTTCTTTTCCTACTTTAATTTCGTCCTTTCAGCTTTACATACCACCAGTAATTTAATATAACCAGGTACTAAATACTGTACTTATTGCTTTGTTTATTGCCTATTTCACTCCACCGGAATGAAGACTCTATGAAGGCAAAGATTTGATTTGGGTTTTTACTGTTTTTCCTTCTACTGTTAATACTACTGGGTACATACTAGACATTCAATAAATACTTTTTGATTAATATATTTAGCATAGTAGCTGGTATAGTATATGTGCTCAGTAAATAAGTTGCTGTGATTATTTATAATAATGATAACATATCAGGCACGTAAACAACATGGAACCTCCAGGTTTCAGCACTTGAGATTCAGAATAGGAGGAGGAACTTAATATAAATTAATACGGTAATGAAATAAATAAATAAACAAGATCCTGCTGGGAAAAATGTTAAGAGCAGAAAGCTGTGGCATGTGAGGGCAGGGCGTACGGATGAGCCACATGGGGCAGGTTGAAATCTTGAAAGCTAGGAAAGATATTAAAAGGAAGTATCCAGAGAAGCAGAAGAAGAATAAGGAGATGACAGTATAATGGGTGTCAAGGTAAGGTAGACACTCATGAAAGAAGAGGTGGTTAGCAGTGCCTAATACTTCAGAGTATATAGTACCAAGGAAATGATAACGTAGCAAATGTCGAGCTACAAATCATGATAAATACCACAGGAAGATTTAATGAGTGAAAATAAATCTTCAGAATCAAAAGTATCTACAAAAGCAATGAAAGAGTTTGCAAGATTGTTAGAGACAGGACTATTCATTTAACCCATGTTCTTTACCTTTGATTCTCTCAAAGAAAGCAAGGATGGAATAATAAAAGAATGTATTTCGTGTTTGAACTTATAAGACCAGAGGTTGATATAAGACCAGAGGTTGATATAAGTAGGCCAATTCACTGAATTGAACAGGGCTTTATACCTAGATAGCTGGATAATAGAATGACATAATAGATTTCTTCTTATAGTTAAAATCTGAGCACAAGGATGCATCTAAAGCAGTAAAATTACTACACTTCTTAAAGAGAATGCAAATATATAAAAATTTTATAAGTTCTTTCTCTTTAAGAAAACACTACAAAAGAACATAAAACCAAAATTCATCTAAAATGTATTTTAATATGGCTCTCATTATTTTTAATTAATCTTATTTACTACAAGATGTATAATAAATCTTACATGAAGAAAGGAAATTTAGAATTAGTTACTGCATTCCTCAGCCCCATGGAGGTGTTTACTTCTGCTTTATATTTGCAGTTTGAGAAGAGAGTTTTATTTTTTTAAAATAAAGGAATTTAGATACAACCAGCATTTTACAGATAATTACAAAATGAATCATAAGTGGGTGCAAATTGAGTAATTTGATTAATTTCTTAGTTGACCTTTAGAAAAGTATTTGTCTAACATTTCTTACTTGTTGTATTTTTATTATATCAAACTGAAGTTCCAGCTAGTTAACTTCCATGTTGTTTTAAGAAAATGAGAACTGCGTTATAGATATGATAGTTTGTTTTGTAAAATAACTGTTTCACTTTAGAAAAAATCTGGGTTTTGAAATGTGGTATGAATATTATCTTTGAATAGCTGCTTCTCTTTCTATCAAGATTTGTTCTCTTCAGGATTACCTCACTTACACATTTTTCCCTCGTATATTTATTAAATCAAGGAATTATTCTGCCCGTAAATTTATTGTTCACTAATGAAAGATAAAATACACCTAACGGCAGTGCGTAACTCTCTTCAAGGTGTGTGCCCTCATTCTAAGTAGCCTCTGACTTAGGTGAAAGACCTCCCGACTGCAGATATATAATGTGCATCGCCAGCAAAACTGTCCATAAGAATAACTTCATTATCTGGGAAGCCAGATCTATAAAACATGTAAAATGTGGAAGTGTTCTTCTCATACAATTTCTGGTAACTACAGCATGACTACGTGATAAAACCTGAGTCAGCTTCAGTTACAGCATACCTTACTAAGACGTTTATTGTACCATGAAGGAAAGAGGAAATATAGTGGGCAAAGGGGTATTTTCTGAAGCCATGAGGTGTTTTAGGTCTATTGAGTTCTGCCCCGATCAATGGAAAAATGATCTCTGGAAGCATTGAGTGGTAGAGTGTACCAGTGAGTCACAGACACCCCAAGTTATAGCAGAATGATGAGAAGGAAAAACTCACCAGTACCACTGGACAAATTGTTGTAGGTGGTAAAATATGGTCCTTCAAAGGTCCGCAGTCACATTCAGGTTTCAGATGAGAAGCACATTTATTATGCAGCTAGGAAAGGAGAAAGAGGACACTATCAAATTTTGCATGGCAACAGCAAGCATGAAGCAGATTATATTTTGCCCAAGATACAGCAAATATATTTAAAGAATTACAAGAACAAACCAACAAGATCATAAAGGGATTCATGCTACATTTGCCCTTATATATATTCTACCTTAAATAAACTGTTTAGCAACTTCCGTGACCCAGCCTATACATTTTCCAATTCTCAGAAATGTTTATATTAGAAATGTGCTTTAGGTTTTCTACCAAAAAGCCTGATTCCTTTGACAAACACATATTATTGTCCATTACAGTCCTTCCTTGGCTTATCTGTTAGCATAATCTTGAAACTACTAGGCACTGTGGATGCTTTTTTTTTTTTTTTGACCCTCCTGTTTTCTCAAAGTCATTCCAAAGTGCACAGCTCAGTATGGGGCATAATTGATCCCATCATTAGTTTTAACTTTCTAATTCAATATGTAAATGTAACCAGACATTCATCTCAGTAGGAGCAGGATATAAATATAAGAAGACGATTATGATTATAAAAATTTATATTTATCAGCTCTACATTAAGTATGTGTATAATCATGTAACATGTTATTTCCTTTTCTACATGTAAAAATCTAAGCTGATATTTTTATCAACCTTGTCACAAGTTTAAATTAAAGTGTTATAACATAGTATATTAAATAGTGATTTTTTAAAAATTGAGATGATAATTCTTATTGGAACCATACAGAATTGCTAAAGTAGTAGTTGTTTAAAGGCATCTAGGGGTATATCTGCCCCCTACTCCCTATCAGTTTAATATAAATATCCATACTTTAGAAAAATGATACATATTAATAAAATAACGTCTCGTTCAAAACCAAAAAGGAGCTGCTTCATTTTTCACTTTTGAACCCAAAGCCACCCCGTTTACGTCAATGATTACATTAATTAATTTCCGCAACAAACCTACCCTTGTAACAGTTAATTAACAACCAACCATAGGAGTCTAATGGGGTTGATCTACTGTTAGCAATAGTATAGCTCACCACTATTGAAGGGGTATTTCTGTTGTCCTTGAATCTAAAACATCTGTCACCTCCTGCCTTGGAGTTAAGGCTACTTGCACAGTAATTAACTCACACTAGGCGACATTACATGAAATAGAAGTATCTTTACACATTCATCAATAATTAGCAGTTCTGCTTCTCCGTGGATGTAAACTCCTTTTGAAAAAGTGGTTTAATCTTATCAGGCATTGCCGATCTTTGTCAAGAGGCAGGAGGTATTGAAGATAAAGAAGCAGTTGAAGTCACATGCAAAATAGGAATAAATTAACAGACACTCACTTGGCAAATGCAAATGCATAGTTTCCTCCAAATAAAATCAGTGACTGGTTTAAATATATTAATTTATTGGACTTAATTTTCTTAGAATAAATCATGGCCCTGAAATTTTGGATTTAAACCAATAGATTACCAAGTGTTGCAGGTTAAATTGGTCTTTCCCCAATTGATTTCCTAAATCTTAGTACTTGTGAATATGAACTCATTTGGAAATATCTTTGTAGATGTATTCAAGTTCAGTTGAAGTTATACTGAATTAGGTTGGGTCCTAATCCAATGACTGGTGTCCTTATAAGAAGAGAGAAATCTGGACATAAGGAGACAGATATGAAGGGAAGAAAGCCATGTGACAACGGAGGCAGAGATTTGGTGATGGAGCCACAGGCCAAGGGACACCAAGGATCGCGGGCCACTAACAGAATCAGGAAGAGGCGAGGGAGTATTCTTCCTTACAGCCTTCGGAGGGAGCCTGACCCTGCTGACATCTTTACCTTGGGTTTCTAGCCTCCAGAACTATGAGAGAATAAATTTCTTTTCTTATTTTGTGGTATTTTGTTATGGCAACCCTAGGAAACGAATATACCAATCATTATGAAAATTGAACCCAAACCAAAGACAGGCTGTGTGTCTGAAGACTCTTTTGTAATGTGGTGTCACAGAGAAAAAGCTTCTGCGTTTTGATCCTGTACCACCTATTTAAAACTGACAATGCAAGGCTCTACGAAGCCTCTACAAATAGAGAGAAAAAAATTCTGTCTGTACACATTGAGAAAGTACTGATTTTCACTCTTGACTGCAGTTAGTGAAGCTTTACATGCAACTCTGAAGGACAGAGATGCAGGGCACTGACCACAGGTACATAAGCTGAGGGCCTCAGCCTCCTCCATGCCTCCATACCATGTGTTTCTAACAATCTACAACTGATATGATAAGGGATGACTAACCTCTCTATACAGTTATTTGAGGGTTACCAGATGTAAGGAAAGATAACAAACATAACATGAATTTAATGACAGCTTTTTGGCATTTAGGCTAGTTTCCCAGCAGGGGGGAAGAAAAAGGAACTGAGGACTCTGGTAGAATCACACAGTTGATAAGCCAAACAGAATGTGTGTGTAAAGGGTAACTCTTCGTATTGAAGTTGGAGGGTTTCAGAGCATAGGTACCAGCAAATGGTCCTATGAAATACTGCTCTCTGCAGAGCTAAATAAAACCAGCATGGCATTGTCCAGCTTGATTGTCACGTGGTCCATATTCCCAAGTTTTGTCTAGGCAGCTGCAAGGCAGAGTCTTGCAAGAACATAGGCATATAGCAGGGTCTACAAGGAGGTCAGTAACCATATCATCATCAGTGAAACAGGGAGACGCAGTGCAAGAAAATTCTCCTCCCCAAGAAGTCTGTATTAACTAATAATGTGCAAGGTGCCTTATACTTTTATGAAGACTGGAGTCTGGAAGCTGCTAAATATAGTTGGATGTCCATCAACATCATGAGATTATTTATAACCAGGAGTGTCAAACCAGAGGACACCATGTTGGAAAATACGGATCATTCCACAATGTGTATAGCAGGTCTAGTGCATTTATCATACTGCTCAGAGACATACTTGAGGACAAAATATAAAATGTGAAACCCAGTGAGAAAATGCTTATAGTTCCCAGGCCTATTTATCAAGATTAAAAGTGAACCTCATTTTTGCTGTGAAACTAAAACTTCTGCATAAAGTCTCTTTTTTTAAAAAGAGCAAATATCAACAAAATAGAAACCATATAATAGAATTTAAAAGGTACTTTCCCCCAAAACTACCCCAAAACGGGTTATGTTCTGTTTCTTGATTAGGTGGTGGCTACACAGGGTGCTCATTTGTGGAAAACTCATTGAGCTCTACCCTTAAGATATTTATACTTTTCTGCATGTATGTTATTTTTCAATAAAACTGTAAAAAGGAAAAAAAAGTGAATATAACCAGCAATAAAAACAAGTTGCTTACACTGGTCACCACGACATTTTACAGAAAAAGACACAGCACAGCTGAGTCCTTCTCAGTGTCAATAAGATACTGAAGTCTGACAATTGTCTTAAAGATAACCCAGATCCCAAATCAGCAAAACAGAAAAAGCCTCATCAAGAAGAGAAATAAACTAGAACACCGATGAATCCTGCCTCTTAAATGGAATGGCCAATGAAGCCCCAGAGAAAGGAAATCGTTACCTTTTTAAAAGTGTTTTTATTTTTGTTCACATTTACCTCTGCATTTTTAAAGAGTAAGGCATAAAAATCTCAGGTCGTTATTTTATTATATGTACAGAAACGTCCATTCATGTTAAGGGAATCAGTCCCTTATCTAGGAAATTCATAAAATATAAACCAGCTATTCCTGGAAGTGAATTAAACACTTGGAAATAATTTCAGAGTTTACGACAATTTCCAATAGCACCTAATTTAGAGCCAGGTCTATGTTTATAGAAAACAGCCGTCTCAATTTAGGAAGAAAAAGAAAATGTGTGAATGATGTGGGTGTGTGTGTGTGTGTGTGTGTGTGTGTGTGTGTTTACTGGATGGAGTTGAGAAAAGAGTGAAGGCATTGTATTGAGAAGAAAGCAATGTAATCTAAGAAGTCAAAAGGGAGAAAAATAGAAAAAAAATTTTCATAAGAATTTGGAGTCAAAAAAGAAATAAATCATTTTCCTACAGAAAAATGAAGTGACCAGATTTAGAGGCACATTTGCTGGTTTATATACATTTTTTCTAACATTTTGCCATTTCAGGGTGCTGCCTTAATGCTGGCATTGGCTAAAGCATGAACCTTTCTATTTTAAAGGCATCGGAAACCTTTAAACATTATTGCTAGGAGTTATTATTTTTTTATTTTTTGGGGGGGTATTTGCCTCACTTTTTTATTTTTTAACATCTTTATTGGAGTATAATTGCTTTACAATGGTTAGTTTCTGCTGTATAACAAAGTGAATCAGCTATATGTACACATATATCCCCATATCTACTGTCTCTTGTGTCTCCCTCCCTCCCACCCTCCCTATCCCACCCCCCCAGCTGGTCACAAAGCACTGAGCTGATCTCCCTGTGCTATGCGGCTGCTTCCCACTAGCTATGTATTTTACATTTGGTAGTGTATATATGTCCATGCCACTCTCTCACTTTGTCCCAGCTTACCCTTTCCCCTCCCCGTGTCCTCAAGTCCATTCTCTAGTAGGTCTGCGTCTTTATTCTGTCATACAGAATGAAGTCAGAAAGAGAAAAACAAATACCGTATGCTAACACATATATATGGAATCTAAAAAAACAAAAAATGGTCATGAAGAACCTAGGGGCAAGGCAGGAATAGAAATAAGGAGTTACTATTTTAAAAGAAGTAGAAGCCCTACATGATACCAAAAGTCAATGATCCATAGTCATCGTATAAGCTTTCGTTTGCTAAGCTCAAATGACATGTATCATCCTCCTATCCTGTGAGTCCTGCCTGACCACGGGTATTTTACCGCAACCGGAGCAAATGATAACATGTTTTAAATAGAGGTTTTACATGTCAAGAAAATATGTTCATGGCAGAAATGAACAGGTATAAACAGTGTGATCTTAAGAATCAGAGAACGTAAGCAAGGGGAGGAGGAGAGAAGCAATGATGACATTCAGCCCGGCTGATTGAATTA